TCGTTTTGATTTTCAGTTTTCTTAGTTTTGTGTGTTTTAAAGGATTTTTGGTCTTTATCATCTGTTTAAGATTAAAATGATTACTTGAGGACAAGCAATGTTTGAGTGTAGGGTGTGGTGAAATTCATTTTTAAGAAAACAATAAATTTTTCTTGAACCGAAGGAACAACTCGTCGAGTCCAGTCGACCCTAATCGACGAGTTCGTCTGGAAATCCGTGAAAATACGTCTCTACTCGCCGAGTCGGGGACCCCCAACTCGACGAGTAGACTTTATTAACGGAAAAAAACTCTGTAAATTAGGGTTTTTACCCTAAAGAGTAAAAGTTCCAATTTCACAGCCGTCACCATTCCCCATTCGACCAATAAGTGCTCTCAAGCAAGAATTTCAATTTTACGTGATCTTCTCTTCCAAATTGCTCAAAAGGTAACATTTTTCATGAAAAATCTTGTTAATATTTAGATCTTTAGTAGTTAGGAGAAGTAATTTGTTAAAAAACTGATTTTTGATTTTGGACAATAATTCTAGGGTTCTGACTTTGGTTAAATTAGAGTGTCTGGATTGGAATTTTTTGTGAATTAGTACTTGGATTATCCTCCTAAACAAACCCCTATAACAAATTTTAGATTCACATAGAAGATTTGTTCGAATCAAAATGGAACCTGCGATCTGTTCATCGGACTCGACGAATCCATACATGAACTCAACGAGTCCACGTTATAGTTTCTAGATTTTTGTTTATTTAATAAGTTATATGGTTTGTGGTTGTTTTCCTTGTGTTTAATTTTGCAGAAGATGTTCAAAAGGGGAAAAGGCTCAAGGAGAGACCAAGGGGATTTCCCTTGGTTTAACTTTCCCGAAATCGGAACGAAGGCCAACACGACTAGATGGAAAAAGAAACTTGAGACACTTAAGAAAAAAGAGTTCTATGTACCAAATGAACTGAATTGGACATGGATTAGGCAAGTGGGTTTGGAGGATTCTGTAAACCAATACTTAACTGAGGTCTTCATTCAAGATGGGATTCAAATCACATGTGACGGGAGGAGGAGACTATTCCTGGTACAAGAATCGGTGTATCGGGAGTTATGTTTGGAGTTGTTTTCCACTGTCTCATTCCTAGGAGGGGATGACTATTATAACTCCAACGCCTTGACCTTTTGTCTTGGTGAGGAGTACCAACAATGTAGCATGGTGGAGCTAGGATGGAGGATAGGAATTTATGACCAATCTTTGGTTATGACTGAGACGTTTGGTACATTTTTGGATCGTTTCTACAGAACTTTTCCCGAAGGGTTAAACTTTGCAAATTGGTGGTCCACGATAGCTAACAATGTCTATATACCTTCCGCGGATCAAGAAGGGAGCATCCAGTCACCAATCCATCGCCTTGGTGTGAGCACAATAAACATGAAGAAAGATGATGGCATGGTGCCAAGCCTTGATGTCTTCTATTTATCGTCCATAATTATGCCAAATACGTTTTGCAATCTTCCTTATTGTTTGGAGAGGTATTTGGGAGAAGGAACGGTCAAAGAGAGAAAGACTTCCAAAATTAATGGAGTAATTATTGTGACCAAGTTAGCAAGGTCATATGGTATTCTTAAGAGAGGGGCCACGAGAGTGTTAACCATGATACCCACACCTCCATTCATTTTTATTCTTTTTAGGAGGGCAAGGATTGTGGAGGACTATGGTAGTGGTAGCTTTGCAATACCAGAAGATGATGAGGTGATAGCTTCCGAACAACCAGGGAGAAGGGTTAGGCCTAGGCACGCACATGCACATGAAGACCCACCGGTAATTCCGATTGATGACGAGGTGCTGATGGATTGGTATAGTGTAGAATCGAGGGCATACCAAGATGGTCTTGAGCGGAGTATGAACTATAACATGGCACTCGCGCATATGATGAGCCATTTGCATATGCCAATGATGGATGGCTCGGAATGTCCAAATGTTAGGAGTTGGGATGAGAGGTTGAGTTCGAAGAGAAGTGGAGCCGGAGGGAGAGGACTTGGAGGAGATGATAAAGAGGATGAAGAATAATTATCCTTTTTGATTTTATATTTATTTTTATGTGGTTGTTTAAGACAATTTTTGTATTTTTTTTATTTTGCTTGGTGTGTTTTCATATGTTTGGTTAATGTTTGAACCATTAATAAGTAGGTTTTTAAGTTTATTTTCCTTGTTTATTACGTGTGTTTGTTTTTGATATTTTCAGTTTAAGGATGAGAGAATAAGTGCATGAATTGAGAGTGAGAAGTAAACAAGAAAAAAAATCGAGACTAGGAGAGAAGATTAAGAGTATTGAGCCTAGTTTTGAGTTCGACAATTAGAGCAGTTACAAGAGTGTCTTTTACTAAAGGAAAATGAGGGGGAGTGTCATTTTGATATTACCCAAACACCCCAGAAATGGACCTGAATTAGAAGAGAGTTTTGTCCTTACAGCGCATCAACTCGTCGAGTCCATATCTAGAACTTGAAGAGTCCAAGTGAAAAACATGACTTTTCTGCTTTTTATAAAGATAACTCACCAAGTCTCCACATGGACTCGTCAGGTCTGCTTGATGATTCGATGCCTTTGACGCTGGTTTTAATTATATTATTTGAAGATTATTTTCCAAGCATTTCCAAGAGCTTGTTCCTTTATATTTGGAGTTGTACACACGAGACTTGACGCCCGAGGTATGGATGAGTTGTTCCCATGCCTAAAGTCAATTGAAGATGGAGCTTTACATGAAGAACATCAACCTCGCCACTACTATCCCAAGGGAGTTTGTTCCAACTCCCTGTTTACTTTATTGTTCCTGTCATGCATAATCTGCAATGTGAAAATTGCATAAATTAAGTGTGGGGTAGGGGTTAATTTTAGTTATTTTTTTTTAATAAATTGCATTAAAAATTCTTAGGGCTTAATTTAGAAAATATGGTAAAGCAATTAGGATTCATGCTAATATTGTGTTTGATAATTGTATGAGGACCTAAATGTTTAGTTGAGCCAATATACATTCTAGTGCATTTGTGGCCCCCTTTATTCTAGTGAAATCATGGGACAAAAACACAACCTCGTTTAGTTTGAGGGATGCAACATGTTTAGCATCGTGTACTTGAAATGTATCCAGGAAAACTTAAGTAGTCATTTCACATATAGACTAATGCCTTTAACCAATAAAGGATGAAGTTTAATCCCCTTGCGTAATAAATAAAAAAAAGCTGCAAATTATTAAAAATACAAAGTATCGAGAATTTCTATTGTAATTTTTTCTTTTCTATGTTATTTTATCGTATGTGTGCTTGGGGGTTTAACAAAAAATGACTTGAGGTTAAGAAAGTTTTCCGCGGATAGATTCATAGGGATGCATAAAATGAGTGTTGTTCAAAAGAAGTGGGCGAGTGTTTAAGAGGATTGTGAGTATTTAGGATTAGGGGGCCCTTAGGAAAAAATTTAGACACAAATGCATATGTTGTGGTCTTGGCATAATGGTTGGGTTTTATTAGGATTGTCTTATGTGGTATTAGTGTGTAAAAACTCAGTTTGTTTGGGGGCAAGCAAAAGTCAAGTGTGGGTATTTTGATATGTGCATATTTAGTCATATATTTTATATAATATCTTAATATTTTTTTTGGCTATTTTGTCTCAATTATTGAATGAAATGTACTTAATTATGTTTGAATTGTATTTTCAGCCTAAAAGACATGCTCGAGTTAAAAAGGAAACAGGATTAACAATCTGAAGCTCGAGAATTGAAGAAAGAAGAAATTAAGCTAAAAAGGTGAAGGACCTCGACAAGTTGGTCCTCAACTCATCGAGTACATAGAAATATTCGCGAACAAATCAAGACTTGCCATACACGGGTTTTAAGTGATGGACTCGTCGAGTCGGTCAAAGGGACTCGGCGAGTTGCCCCTGTTTTCAGAAAATCTATATAAAGGGCACTAATTCCCAAGACAATGGGCTTTTAGCTGGATCTTTTGGCGACTTATTGATGAATAGAAGGTTTATTGGAGCTCTGGAATTCGAAGATCAACCCTAGAGATCAAATTGGAAGATATCAAAAGGCAACACACACTCTCTTTTCTTAATCTTTTGCATACACTATGTTTTTGCTATTGGATTTTGTTTTTGAGATGTTACCTGTTGTAGATATGAACTAAAAACTCATTACTTCTGTTTGGATAGATAAGCTTAGGAATATGGTTTGATTTTATGGTATTGGATTAAGTGGATTTGGTGAATTGTTTTGTTAAGCTTGTTCAAGACCATTATGTGTTAACAATAACTATTTTCTATTAACTATGAAGTCTATTAAGTTGCATGAACATCCTCTTAATTGCTTGTTTCATATGAATTATGTGAAAACAATATTATATGCCTAGTATTAATGAATATGAACCTAGGATTAACTAGAAAAATAGGTAAGTTAATGTGTGAGCTTGTGTGATGAACAACCATACAAGATGTTGATTGAATTGATAAATTTAATTAGCTAATATTACAAGTCTTACTTAACCCGAACTAAATGCTAGTAAACTCGTTAGTTTAACCAATTGGCCACTCTTTGAATTAATTAGTTTGCTAAGGATTAGTAATAGTGAGCACGAATCTAATCACATTAGGAATCAGTAGCCAATGAAAATTTAATCCATTGCACTTACCATAAAATCAACCATAGGAACAAGTGAGTCGAATCTGAAGAGAAGTCTCTTTTATTATTGAATCTAGTTACTTGTTATTTCCTTTAGTTGTTAATTGTTTTTATTTGAATGTTAGTTATTTGCTAAAGTTTCTAGTCTTGTAAAACTAGAGAAAACCCTTCTTTTATTATTTGTTTTTAGTTAGATAATTCTAGTAGTTAGTTTAATTATTACCGTTCCTTGTGTTTGATACCCTACTTGCTTAATCTATACCACTAATCGATAGGTACACTGTCTTTCGTGTGTTTAATTTATGTTAAAATAGTGGGACCAAAACTAGTACATTTCTCACACATCACTACTCTACTCCTGGGCGGTAGTGTCTTCTGACAGTAAAGAATCTCTAGTAATCGCCCAGCCCAGAGCGTAGGCCTCAAAAGATAGAGAGTGGGATGAAATTCCTATTTTGTCGATCAGGGAAGGCTTCTCGCATTGAGAAGAACCTCCAGGTGAACTCGACGCACCCCCAAACATAGAGCCAAAACCGAGATTAACCAAGGGAGAACCAGTGAATGGTGAGTGTGACGCCTCTGGACAACTAGGCACCACCACTATCTCCTTCTGCTCAGGCATAGAAAATTGACCTCCGAGAATACCCCCGATACCGCCAAGAAGCTTGGCCACAAATACAGTCCTACGGGCTTTACGAGGGCGAAGACCTTCGATAATACCCCCGATACCGCCAAGAAGCTTCCCCTTTTTCGAATGGGAGCACCATCTCTTCTTGCTTGTACCCCCGCAGGCAAACTAGAAGGAACAAAAATTGGTGAACGAACTGGGGAAACGACCACAACGGTCGACTGGGAAGGCGGCGCAGGCCTGCTATGCGACATCCCCATTTTGACGGCCAGAAAAGACTGATTTTATTTATGATTTATAAAAATTAGAGTACCTCTGGGGAAGACTCTAAGCCCCAATGAGCCCCTACAATTGACATGGGCATAGTTTTTGGTGCAGTTCAAGCGTAGGTACTGCTCAGCCCAAAATCTGCTCGAGCCAGAAAACCAATTCCTTACCATGAAGAAAGGAAGCATGTCTGTTGATGAATACACCAACAAATTCACAGAGAAGATGGAGTTCGCCTTACGTCTTGTTCCAGATGAGTTGACGAAAATCGACAAGTACGCAAAAGGACTTCCATGGGAATATGCAGTGCCAGTACGTCAGGCACCTACTTTGGAGGCATCTATCTGGGCTGCCAAGTCGGTTGAGGATATGATCAAGGGAAGAGCCGCCAACAAGACCGAGGTTGGCAAAAAAAGGAAGTTTGAGGGGTCTGCGAAGCCCGATGAGAGAAGCAAGTCCAACACAAGGAAGTTTAGAGGAGGACGGAATGAAGAAAGATGGTGTGAGAAGTGCAAAAAGAAACACTCTGGAAAATGCGGTGAGGAGGTGACTTGTTTCAAGTGTGGGAAGCATGGGCATTATGCCAACGAGTGTAAATTCAACAAAAGGGTGTGTTACGAATGTAATGAGGAAGGGCACTTCAAGCAAGATTGCCCAAAGAGAGAAGGGGCAACAAAACCAAATGTGTCGCCAAAACCAAAGGCGAGAGCATTTCAAATGATCATTGATGAAGAAGATGACAATGCGAGGATTCAGGAGTGAAGGCTTGACATCCAAAGGTCGAGTTATTAAGTAGCCATAGAGTCATATTATGTAGCCTATTAGAGGCATAGTCTAGGGTGAACTTGAACACCTATGTAATAGTTTCAAGGAATAATAAACATTCGATATTTTATGTGTTAAGCTGTTATGTGATTTTCTTGTATGGTGACTTGGAAAAAAATTGTGGGACAATACTTGGGACGAGTACGAGTAGGTGTGAAAGGTAGTAGATGCATATACTACCGGAAGCACAGGACTCACGCTTGGATTGGGGAAAGTCACAAGGTTACCAAGAAGCTAGTAATTGATTCCATTTTGTTCAAGTATATCGTTACCATCGTTTCAGTAATGACTAAGAAGATGATTGTTATTCCAACCCTAGTGGTCATATCAATTTGACTCCGACTACGCTGAGTATGTTATGTGGTTCAGAGAACCAAGTTCGATGTAACATCTTACTTAAGCCATAGGATTGAAGTAAAAGGTAATTGAAGTGATCGGTAGAGGTATTGCGACGGTTGCTTGTAGCTAGAAATGCTACCTTTTAAGATGCGGTTAGAACATGAAGGAAGGTATAGTCTGTTCTGGAATCTGACTCTAAAAGACCTGAGTCCAAGCGATGCATCATATGATGAGAGGTCATTTGAACATGACCCATCAGTCTATTATGATAATTGAAGGAAGAAACTTATCTCAAGTTTGTTAAAAAAAGGAGTCTCCAATAAAGATCAAGATCACGACATAAATATCATGATTAGAAGTCTAACATGAGATAGAGAGCGGGTCCAAGATCGGGAACCGCCTGCAGTCAGGAAGTCTTAGAGTTAGATACTCATTTGAAGAAACATCAAAGTTACGGTTATTACGTAGGATGAAGAGATAACGTATGGAGTCATCATGTGAGTCATGTTTTGTTGATGATTCCGAGACCTAATCATCCTAAGGGGGAGATAATTGTAACGCCCGTAGATCCGGGATAGTCAATTTAAAGATAATAGGGGTTGAAAACAACTTTTTGACAAAAGATTATTTAGAATAAATAATCTTAACCAAGTTGTAGAATATGTATCAAGGGTTTCGTACATATAAAGAGCGTCGGAATCCAAGTTATGACCCGTCGAAGTTTAGCGATGGAACCGGCACGGCATAGCGAAGACGTAAATAGTGAATTTATGATACAACAACTTTTAATCTTAGTAATCTAAATGAAAGTCGTAGAATATTTTAACCTGAGAACGTCCATAAAAAGAACACCCAAATCTGAATTCGTATGAGGAAGTTATGATTTTTCGAAGTTTCGGCTTAGCGGTGTACAGCCCGAAGTTCGAGTATTAGATCGAGCGGTTTTTAGCGGACACAACCTAAACGAGAATCGAAGATCTCATTATTAGTAGCGTAACGATAAAAAGAAATACGAAAATGGACATCGGATGAAGAAGTTCTGAGATTTTAACGGACCAATCTTGTCCCGGCCTGTTAAAAATATAACTTTAAAAATAAAGTCAAAATTAGCTAACGGAGTCTAAACGAAAGTTGTAGAGTACGTCTCCACCTACACGTAGATATAAATAACGTCAAAAACGGAGTTCGTATGAACGAGTTACAAATTATAATAACATATTTACGTATTAAAATAAAGTATAAATCATATATATATATATATATATATATATATATATATATATATATATATATATATATACATATGTATATATCATTAGAAAGGTATCGATGATGCGGTCATTATAAGACTTATGTTGAGTTCTTTCGACATTAGTTTAGTGCAAATATCGTTAAATCTATTTAAAATAGTATTATAAAGGGGTGTTTAGTTGTTTATATAACTAAAAGCCCGTTAAGTAATTATGGAGGATAGTTTTTGTAAATTCAATTACTATAAATAAGAGGCTTGGACTCTCATATTTTTTGCACCATCTCTTGATTCAAGAGTCTTTTTCTCCTTATCCCCCGAGCATTTCGGTCCCTAGTGATTCGACTTCTCTTTCTGTAGATTTTAGTATAGTAAGGTGAGCGTTGAAGCGCTGCACGAATCTTTCTTAGAAAGATTCAGCGACGAAGTTCTGCCCCTGCAGAGCCCGACTCCTAACTAAAATCCCCTTGTAAGTAAGTTATGCTTACCCTATTTTAATATAGCTTATATTTAAAATTAATATTGTTATTATAAACTTATAATAAATATTTGAGCTATTATTATGACTTATATAAGTGTCGTTATAATATCTTTTTAACTAATCGCGGTACCGGGAATCTGGTTTAAAGGGCCACATAGGGTTGTTGGATTTCAGAAGTGCTATACGCCAAAATGGTCCTACCCTCCGGTGTTTTATGTCTGGCCATTGTCTGTACATAGTGGTTGGAAAGTATTGTTTAAACGATTATATAATAATAATAATAAGACTAATAATTAGTCACAGTAAATATTAGACTAAAATCTATTGGTAATAATACTAGGTTTCGTCAAAGGAAATTATTTTAAAGTAAACGAAGCGCTGTCCGAGTACCGAGTCACCACCTTCTCAAGTGAGTGCATGGTCCCTTTCATCTTACACATAGATATGAAGTATTTTATTATAAATTACGTGCTATGTGTGCATATTGTCTGAATACTTGCTGTCTACGATGGTGAAAGATTTTTCTACATGTTTTAAATGATGTAAACTGTATAAAGTATTTTATATCTACAAAATATGTTGGGTAAAACATGGGTAGATGAATGATGATGGATAAAAGCTGAAATAGAGGAACATTAGTAGCATGGACCTAGTGCCTTATCGGTATATAATGGCAGCAGTGGACCTAGTACCCTATAGATGAGCACTGGCAGCTGCGCCACAACTCGTAGACGTTTTAGATCTACGGTAAACGTCCTAGCAGCTGCGCTCTAAGGACAGTATCGACAGCTACACCTAATAGGGAGCCTTATGACCATGACAGTAGTGTTTAAATGTCAATACCGGCAGAAGCGCCTCATAGAAAATGTCCCAATTCTGGCAGTTTCGCCTAACTGACAAGATTAGCAGCTGCACTTGACCAATGTGTCATTGGCAACAATGGACTTCATGTTGTTTCCTTAGGATGATCCTTAGGAATGAATGAATGAGAAATAGCTGATTCTTAGGGTAGACCCTTAAGAATAAAGAAGATAATGGGGATGGGTAATTTGGTTGATTATTTGATTATTTAAACATAATAATTATATTATTGTGGGTTGAAAACCCTATGTACTCACCAGGTTTCCCAACCTGACCCACTCAGTTTATTTATATCACAGGTGTTGATATGAAGTCACATTACACTGAGAGATTTAAAAGAGATGTAGATCACTATTGTAAATAAATGTAAGTTCTATTTATGCTTATGTTTCTGTATTGACGATGACATCCCAAATGTTTTAAAAGTAAATAAAAATATATTTATTTAGAAATGCTTTGATAACACGATTATCATGTTTTTTTGGGAACGAATTCCGCAACATTTTTATTAAAAGAGATACTCTGATTTTTATAAAGCATAAACAAAAATCGGTCTTTTCTGGCCGTGAAAAATGGGGATGTCACACTTACCTCATGGTCTATATCACCTCTCAAGTTATCATCCAACTCATATTTCATCTACCCATGTTTTACCCAACATATTATGTAGAGATAAATAAGTATACAGTTTAAATCATATAAAACTTGTATAAAATCGTTCATCCAACATAGATAACAATTAAACAGATTATATGCACACATAACACATAGTTTATATAAAATACTTCATATATATGTGTAAGATGAAAGAGACCATGCACTCACCTGAGAAGGTGGCGACTTGGCACTTGAACAACACTTTGTTACTCTCAACACACTTTTCCTCGGACAAACCCTAGTATCATTACCACTAGAGTTTAGTCTAATATTCACCGAGACTAATTAATAGTCTAGCTATTATTACTATTATATAAGTGTTAAACAATAATTATTTAACCCATAATAATAGCCCAAATACTTATTATAAGTTCCTAATTACGTTATTATAATTAAATAAAAGCTATATAAAAAATAGCGTAGGCGTAACTCACTTACAATGAGTTTTATAGAAAACCGGGCTTCGCTTGGAGCAGCGTTTCCGAGTCGAAAAACTCTTCTTCTCGGAGCCTTCTGGCGCTCCGGGACTTGCCTCTAGCACTTGGAAGTTGCTAGGGATTGGGGAGGAGAGGTTTGGAGTA